TCTTTTCTTATTTCGTTGGCCCATATCTGACGCACACGCATCTGTTCTGAGAGATGTGCTGAATTTCAAATTAAGATTCATTTCTTCAAGAATGATTCGTCCAAGGGCAACGCCAGTGAGAGATAGCTCTTCGTCAGTTTGGGTGTGTTCGCTAACAGTGGTACTTTTGAAATTGGTTATATATATGTATATATATAACTGATCAAAATAATAAGTCTGAAAATCGATTAACACGCTTTTGGAAAGTGAAGAAAACTCAAAGGAATCCATACTTTCAATCGCTCATCAAATTAGAGAAGAAAATATCCAAAAAAAGCTACTAATAGGAATTTAGATGAACCCATTGTAGGTACTTAGTCAACCAAAGAACCCTTTATCCCGAATATTGATATGGACGGACAATCGAAATACGTAGCGTTAAGCCGATTCTTAAGCAACAAACAATCCTTACCTAAACMACACAAAGTAAATGCGAAATTTAATTAAATTTCAGAACTCGAGGCAATAGAACCTCATCCAACATACGATCTCATGGCAGAGCCCGTACTATCACACAGCATCAGAAAACTAAGCAATATCTCGACACACGAGTAATGATTACCACCACACGAWCCGAGAAACTACCACCCACGGCCGRGCAACCAATACTCATTGTGATGTACTCTCACACTCACCGAGAATATCTATTTGTAGTGTGATCACCTGTGGAATAAGGTTTTACGCATTTATAATCCGGAATGCTGCTCGATCATCACACAAGTACTACCCAATGGGTGGAACTTTGGTGATTTAGTTTTGCTTGACCGTCAATTTAACAGCAAGAATTAATGTTGGAGCTTGAAGTAGATTCTACCAACATATCATCAGAAGCGGATTGMTTAACCCAGGCAATTTCACAGTAGTAGTGAAAAATAGAGCATCCGGCTGGACATTAACTGGTCCATATAATTGTCAACAATCCAGAGTATATTCGCACTTTTGATCACTCAAACTGAATTTTATCAATTAATACACCCCACAAAGCTAAATTTATTTCGGAGATACTGCAAGGCGGTCGGGAAGTTGAAGGCAAAACATAAACACAACGAATAAGGSAATGAAGAAAAATTTTTTGTTATACAAATATAGCCAAATTTGTCTACACTACCAATAATATACCACAATATTGAATTTTTTAATGTTCACACTAAAACTAATTGTCTTTATTTACAACGAAATTAGTAACCTTCGTCATGTAGTTATTTATTTTTTTGGTTTCTCACCGTTCTTAAGGAAGTAAGCCTTCACACGTTCACCGATCTTGCTGGCCACCACACACTCATGACCACGATAGGCCCATACATCGGCACTGCTGCCTTCTAAGTTTTTATCCATGCAACCCTCAACAATGGAAAGTGCCTCAGCCTCATCCAAATCCATTTTAAATTGCTTTGTAACGCGATCGACATTATAGCCGTCACGCTCGCAGAAGACACCCAATTTCTTTACGGTACAAAGCAAGACCTTACGTGCAGGCTCTTCATCGGAATATTCAAAGTTCTTAACTTTTTGGAGTTCTTCCTCGCTGAGTGGGAAATCTTTGAGGCATTCTTGACGAATAACATTAACCTCTGCAGCATTTTTCGGCCTCCATTCTTCTTCAGCGTAAGTCTAAAAGAGAGATTAAATAAAGAAAAGTAACGGTGCATTTCAGTTTGTATGTGYGTATGAACATATGTATGTATGGGATGTACGTTAGAGCGGGTCGATTTTTATCTATAAAATCGCGTATGCGGAAAATGTTCTACGGACATACAGTTATTATAAAAATATCTGAATGATCGATTGTATGCGACATATGTGATGTAGTTGTCCAAACTGAACGATTAAGATTGTTATAATGATCAAGATAATATCAAAATTCAACTGCATAGTAMATTTTATTCGGATATCCAAAAACCTTTTATGATCTTTCAAAAAAGGCGCTTTTAAAATTGCCGGTTTTTACCAATAGTCTGTCAGACAAAGTTGTCCGAATGATCTGTAGAACATTCACGCATACGCGTTTTTTTGTTTTTGGTTCTTTGTTAATCAACCGTACCCGTGAAATAACTGCAAGGATCAGTAGGAAGAATTTCATTTTGGATTTCTCTTTTTGTATACGAATAACTATTCGCGTTGAACTTAGAGCACAACTGCTTAATTGAATTATTAGAATTTCGAATTTATACATTCAGTTCAGTTGATGAGCAAATGCACATTTMATTTTTTTTTATACTTTGTTTACCGTTTGATCGACTTACGCTYACTAATGACGCGTAACCGTTATATGAACAAAACTACTATGCTTCCGCAACTTAATTCGTGGGTGCTACAAGTAAGGAAGTGGTACATTCGGGTGTTACTGTACATTTTATACTCTCATAATTTGCAGGGATCAAAGGCAGGAAAATGCCTTCGGTGTTGTGAAGCACGTTACATTGAAAAGTGTTGAGAAAGAATAAAAAATTCATCATTTGAAAAAATTGTGATTGGATTACAATCCAATTTGGTATGTTATTAAGTTATATTATAGGTCACAGACTCAGTTAGTTTTATTACTACAAGTATATTTTACTTCGCGTTAGCTAAATACGCTTATACTACCTGCAGGGACACACAAGCAAACAGTCAACCGGACTATATCTAGATAAAATTATATCTATCTCGCTCAGTTTTAAGTGATACAAACGACCGTTAGGTTAACAAAACTATTATACTCCGTGGCAACATGTTGCAAGAGCATAAAAATGTTGCGAAAGTATTCAATATTGAATATTCGATGAAAACATGAAATGATTGCAATCAATTTCGGTATATTATTAACTTATACAAGTATTATAGCTATTTTAGTCTCATTACGGAAAAATATTTTTATGTTTTTGCAAATTAACAYATGTTCAAGTGTGATCACTGAAGCGTATTATTCAGTCAGTTGTTTTCGATGTGCCACATTATGCCGTGAAGTAAGAAAAATAAGTTCCCAGCTACAAGAAAGGTTTTGAAGCACTCTTTCTAACGAATCACCAGAAATATTACAACTTCAGGTGTAACTGAATATTTTCTGTACATTCTTTCAAATTAAAGTAATTAAAAAATGTTGCTAAAGAATTCAAGTTGCAATATTTTACAAAATCGTGATTGGATTACAATTAAATTTATCTTCTTATTAACTCATCATTATGAGTAAAAGTAGACTKTTTTCATAATTTAAAAAATCATAATTTATTCTTCAAACTCTATGTCGTCCCACCATCACTCGCTCGACTTGTCT